GGACAGAAGCAGAAGGTGGTTCTTAAAGAGACAGAAGCCAATTTCAAGGCATTTAGAAGAGGAAGTGATGAGAAGATACATTTATTTAGACATTAAAAACAGCATTTTAATAACAGCTAAAGGTGACATAGATACTTTTGGTATAGTATTTAAATGTATGCCCGAGAAACATGATATTGCCCCTTTAAAGGTCAGCCTGCTACGACAGTCATCTTGAATTGAGCTGACCCCAAACGTTAATCAGTTGTGATGAACGTCCAGTGGTTATTTCTGCAAGTTTCATTAAAATATGTCCAGCTGTACTTGAGTTTTTTTTTATAACAAACTCCTACAAACACACAGACAGAGGCAGGCTAAGAGGAAAAGAAAAGGACAAACAGGATTTACTGCGTACAAAATACAGTGACTCATTTCATGTTTTACCTAATTGTCTCCACCCTTTAATCTTTTTGTGACACATACTTAACTGTCATTCCCCGTGTCAAGAAACTCTTTTCTGATACAGTTCTCAACAGCTCTCTTCTTTCTTTCTATCAACAATTTAGGTTAATTGTTGTGTTTTTTTGCAGAGCTCAAACCTTACAAGCAGTTAAGATCTGAGGAAGTGAAAATCATGAAAAGCACCTTCTCTTATTTCTCTGACATACACACGGTCACAGCAACATCTTCCAGTAAAGATTACAGCTGCAAGATGTCTRTACTTCTTCCCAGCAGACAGAAGTGTTCTCCAAAAACCTCCCCCCTTGTTAAAAAAAACTCTCCCTAAGTTGCTTTGTCTGTTGACTCAGCTCCACTAGTCCTGTTATCAATTTACTACCCATGTCACGGCAGGAGGCCCAGGCTTACCGGAAAATAGCCCAGATGACTGAAAACATTTGGAAAGGGGAGGAAAAACACAAGAGTTTAGAGTTGAAAAGAATATTTTGGAGAATATTGAAAAAAAAAAAGGCTGCCGTTGGAATGCAGGTTAAAGCTCTGACGTTTATCTGTCAGACCTGCTTGTGTGAATGTGCAACATGGCTTCTGTCCGGTGCCAAAATTGTTTTCTGTGACGTGTTTCTTTTGTTTTTAACAGACAAATGAACAGGACAAAACTAGTTCTTAAACTTGTTTGTGATTTATACAAGTATGTTGTTAGATTTACTTTATTTCCTAGTGTTACATTTGACTTGTTTATGTCCCACAGAGAAGTTTAGTGTTCTTAGTCTGAGTTTATCTTTGCATTTATGGTTCATTATTGGTGAAAGGTGAAGACGACTAATAACGTTTTTTTATTGCTAAAAATATCTCAAGAAACATTGAGCAATTTTTTTAAAATTTATATAAAAATATACTTGATGTACATTTACAACAAACTAACTTTTGAAGTCAAGTTGATTTAAGATAGCTGCCACAACCCACTGATCTCACAAAACAAAAGAGTGGCTCTAACTGTGTGTGGTAGTAGCTGAAAGTAATCCTCAACACATGATCAGAGCACTTTGTGCACAAGCTTTGTTCCAAATTTCTTTTGGTGTCGACCCTCGTGTCAGAATATCTCACGAACCACTGGATAAATGTTTGTGAAATTTTCAGGAAATAAGCGTTAGGTATTGTTTTTAAAACTGATGAACGTCTGAAGTAATTCCGATTGAAGACGGTTGCCACAAGCAACTGACTAAACAGAATTTGACAAGGTTGTAGCTGAGTGTGATTCACAACACACGCTCCAAGTGCTGCTCGTTGCACAAGAAAGCTGGCAAAATGAGTCAGACTGAGTAGAAGCTGCTGTGCAAAATAAGTGAATGTAGTGCTGTATTTGAAAAATAATAATAATAATAATGAAAAACCATCAAGTGTTCCCCATYACTAAAATAGCATGTAGTCCACCTCAAATCACCCTTAGAATTCCCTTTGAAACTGAGCATTTATCTGCTGTCTGCGAGTGTCAGGAAATCCCTTCATATAATGTTTGGCATCATTGTGAAACTTTTTTAAATGCAGGGCTTTAATTCCCGATGACATCATGATAAAAATGTCATTTTCAAACTGGAACTCTCAAACTAAACTAACTTGTTAAACCTACCAGGTGACAGGTCGCCCAATTTCAACAAAACATTTTAAAGCTTTTGAAATGGAAAGATGGAGAATTTTGAATTTTGTTTTGATTAAATTCCTCCTTTTGATTCTTTCAGCAAAGTTCACAGTTGCTTAAAACTTTTGGATTAACTTTTAGAGTCAACCTTTAATGTTTTTTTATTTTTTTTTWAATTATCTCATAAACCACTGGATTTATTTTWAAAAAAACTGATTAAATCAACTTTAGCTTACACAAATATGGCTACAACTCAGTTTTACAGATATCGAGSTAGAATTWGACGYAGTAGCTAAAAGTTATGCACAACACTGTGTGTGCCCCGTCATTTGGATGAGATTACAGACATGATCATTTTCAAGGTTTGACTAAAATAGTTCCAACTCATAAGTTTATCTTAATATAAAACCCTACTGTGAAAAGGCAGTGGGTGTCACACATTACAAGAAATGCTAGGCTTTTAACCAATAAAATAAATCAACACTTTGCTGCTCATTAGCCAGACCAATTAAACAAGGGGACACGTTTAGTGCTGCTCGTTAATAATAATAAATAATAAGAGCTTATAAAGCCCACAGTTAAGGCTCGGTGTGCTTGTGATGTCTGATGCGTTTGGTTTACGACCTCCTGTGAAACAGAGGCTGCTGTGTGCAYCATTTAAAGGAGACATATCATGCTAAATGCACTTTTTTTTTGCATTTATAAACTATTTTTGTGCAATTATAGTGTCTAGGAGTGTAGAAAACATTAATTTATTCTGTTCTGTTACTGCAAAGATATTTTTATATATTTTTATGGTCATATTTTTCAGTTTGTTCAAAATCTGCTGTTGCTTATTACGTTTCATTGCTTATTTCGTCACACTATTTTCTTCGGAACTACCATTTATGGTAATGTATTTCTGGCCAACTGGATTTCATAGTCCGCCATTTTTTTCCCTCGCTGTGTGATTTTGTAGTCCATAGCGTCATGCCGAATATGCAAGTCCAGAAGTCAAAATGTTCGGTTCTGGGGTGTGTAAACCCACATTATTATCTACATAGACTACCAGCGTCAGAGCAGAGCTTCTTCAAAGTGCCTGGTTAAGTTTCATTTTTAAGTTTCAAACACCTGAGTTTAGCTCTGAACACAACAAGAACACTTCTGAATACCTGCCTGCTGTCTTTATTGTTCTTCATGCACAAATTTGTTCAGATCAATAGTTATAGAAAAGGTGCAAGTGTTCATGAATAAATGCTGTAATTAAAAAAAACTTGCATTTAAATGAGCAAACCAGTGACACATTTCCATGTAAATGCCATGTTTCTGCAGAACGCATGCTGACCTAGTGAACTTCGACCTCTTATTGTCGGCGGCCTGTTGTGAGCTTGTTTCCAGAACAACCAGCTCAGAAAGAATAATGTCGTGTCTGAACGTGTTTATTAAGCTCCTTTTTTTTCCCCAACAGATTGCTTTCCTCGTGTCTACCGACAAATGAACTAATGAATTTTATTGAAACTTGCAGAAAATAGTGGATCTTACTAATTAACATGAAGTTAACCKGATTCAAGATGGCCTCCTAACATCTTCCTCCTCAGAAATCCCACTATTAGTCGTTTTAGTTTTGCTTTGAGTTTCCTGGTTGGATAGAAAGGTACTATAGAAGCGCAGACTATTTACAACAACTGACTCAAACAACCAAGTGTAAACAATGGCTCTGGCTTTTATTCAATAACTTCACACAGCCCACACAATGTCAAACCAGTAAGTGCTGCATGTCATACAAAAACAGTCCAAAATTCGTATTAAAAAAAATTAAAACAGGTATAAATACAAAAATGATTTATGTACAAATACCAAAACAATTCTCACTGGACAAAAAAATAAAATATTCTACAAATTCTGAATTTACATCATCAAATCTACACAGCAAAACACACACAAGCACACACGCCAATACACAACACCCATTTACAGAGCTGTCAAATACACCAGCAAACACACGTCTTCAAGTTTCATTAGGACAGGACAGTTAGCTTATCTCTGCAGCGAAGAGGGAAAGCCAGAAAAAAAAAAACACTTCAGAATGAAGTTTTTTTTAAATCTTATAAAAACTTCTAAAAAACTTTTTTGTGAGAAAAAAAAAAAGAGATTAATTCAAACTGATAATAGCTGCTAGAACTTTGGGCAAATGATTAAAAAAGCATACACTGGCCTATAGAACTTGAACAGTAAACATACAAATTCCTCATTTATATTCTTTCTAAACCAACAGATTTAATTTCAACACAAGAGGAAACCAATCCTCTAACCACACCCACACCTGCAACTCAGACGCTGCATTTAATTAATTTGGCTATTTCCTAAGAAACACAATAGTAGTCTTCAGCTACTAAATCAAAACGTAAATCAAAGTCAACTCAGATCAACTGAGGAGCTGAAAGATTTAAAACAAAGCTGCCAAACCAGAAGGAGTGACCCGATTATAAAGTAGTCATTATCCGTTCTGAAGCACCCTGGTTTTGGATGCGTTTTTTTGGGCACAAAGTGCAGCACCAAACAGGTTTGTGCCCCGACTTCAAAGCTTAAAGAAGGCGAGAGCAAACCTGATCATAAATACAGTAAGAGCAGGGTTTTTTTTTTTAAGTTTTGTTTTGCTTAAGCTGCAACAAAGGTTGAGTTAAAAAAGTTAAATCACAACTTTGTTTGGTCAATGGGAAAAACACACAGATTGTACAAACACACCTGGTTCCTTAAAGGGTTAATAACTTTAGCTGGCACCTGTTCGGTGAATGAATCCTGACAGTTAAAGCTGACTTAATACAACACTGCCCCCTAGAGGTCCAAAGGTGGCACAATCATTTCAAATTTTGGAATACAAGGAAGAAAAATACGTCCTGAGATAATCACATTAAAGGCTCACACCCACATCAGTTTTTATCTGCTGATAATATGATATGCACACTGACTCCTGTTATAGGATTTTTTAAAAGTTTTTCAGTAGTTTAAAAGACAGCCTCCCCTCTAAAACCCATCTTTACAAAGTGTACATATGATTTGTACTTGAACAAAAAAAAAAAAAAGAGACGGGTCCTCCATCTGGCATGGCTGAAACAAGTGATGGCTTCATAGTGTATGTCCTGCCCCGATAAGGGCACACCTTTAAAATATCTCTACCTCCTTTTGATGCGTCAACTCTTCAAAAAATCTCCCAGATCGTAGGTGTCGAAGAAGTCCGACACTCCCTCGCTGTCTTCCAGGCTCCAGAGGTAATCGTCGTGGTCTATGGGAGGAGAAAAGCTGACAAAGGGGGTGTTGGGGTCTGACGTGAAGGACGTGCCAGGGAGCTGGTCCTCTGTGATTTGAAGGATGCCCGGAGGCAAACCCAGCAGACCCTCGACGTCAAGCAGGGAAGAAGCGGCGGGGGTGGCTGAGGGGGCGGCAGGGGGCACTGTCGAAACGCTCGCTGTTGGATAGAAGAAAAAAACGTTGGGATTTAATTTTGAGTTGATTTATTTTGGGTGGGGGTTAAAWATTCTGACTGACCAAAAACAAGAATATGTACTGGATGGGTGATTACTGATTGACCACAGGTGTYCTGATTACTAACAGAATACAGGTGGTGGAAGAGACTCTGGAGAACATCTGGTGTTCACTCACTGTGCAGAACTGAGAAAAACTCGTAACAAAACAATGAACCCAAAATAGATCAATACAAAACAAACAACAAAAAAGTAACAAAAATAAATAAAAAAGTAACAAAAAAACAAAAAAAAAACAAAAAAAAACAAATATGACTGATGTCAATGTTTGATTTGTGGGGGAAAAAAGAAAAAAAATGGCTGAAGCTTCAATTTTTGCTTTTTTCTACCCGTGCAAAACTGTTTCCCAATTACATTCTTCTTTTTGTAAGCTCCTCAAATTACCCTTGTGTGCGTTTGTCTGTCAGTAAGCAAACTATTTCACAAACAACAAACAACTGAATAGATTAAAAAAAAATTAAAAAGAAGTTTTCATTTGAGTCAGCCCCATTCAAGATGGCTGCCACAGCTAAATGACCTTAGGCCTGGTTCACACGGTGAGATTTAAAAATTGTTGGACGATTTTCAAAGACTGAGAAACACTACAGGTGAGGATTTAAAAAAATGATAGCTCTACCATGTTTGGTTCTACAGTGGGTGGTGTACAGGCACACAGAAGAAAACAGCACACCACACACGGACAGACTCCATTCATCAACATTCAGATGTCAGATGTGAAATCACGCYAGACTTCTTGAAATATCGCGAGATTTCAGATGTCAGAGGAAAAAAAAATCTTGCGTGATTGCAGATTTTTATGACTTCTGTGTCTTTAAATCTCCTTGGCGCAATCAAACATGTTCAATATTCCCAATTTGAGGCTGGAGCGATCCCCACGTCCTTCCTAGATGACACTTAACTCACAACACACAGCAGGAATATCTTTTAAAATTATCTTTAGAGTCATCACGATAATCTGAGCATCCTTAAGGTTGTCAGATAGGCAAATTCGGCACAATTATCCTGCCGTGTGAACCAGGCCATAGAAAACAAAACAATGGCTGTGTCCAAAACGACAGGCCGGGTCCTCCGGAGGACCCAGACTCCCCGGTCTCGGCGGGCCGGGTCCTTGGTAGACCGGGAAGACCGGAAAAAAAGAGGATGTGGATTTGGACGGTCTAGCCTCCCCTCCTTACCCCGGCGTACGTCTTGTCACCTAGCAACTGTGAGGACGCTAAACAAGCAAACTTGAATCAAAACTAGAAAAATATCAATACATTAGCATTATTAATATCACAAAACTATAAAATTAACTTAAAGGTAACATTAGAAGAACTAATTGACCCGCTGTAGGTTCATGTTTATTTCGCGTTTTTTATGACGAAAAAATAATATGTAAAAACATGTCCATACAAATGATAAAAGTATTAGAATTACAACCGCTAAATTTTTTTAATTTTTATATCACCATATTTTTATTTAAAACGTATTCTTTTCTCTCGCTTCGTCCGCCATTACTAGCTTAAAAAAATCTCCGGTCGGGCCGCAATGCATTATGGGATATGCTGGGCCGGGAAGGATCCATCGGACCWGTCCTTCGATTCAGGGAAAAAGAAGGACGTATTTGTCGGACGCATCGGAGGAGTCTTCCGTTTTGGACGTCCTTCGTCGCGGCGCTGTGACGTATGCGGCCGACAAATTCGACCTTCGGAGGACCCGTCCTGCCGTTTTGGACACAGCCAATGGCTATACCTCAGTCAGTTTTACAGATGTTGACCTAAAGTTTGGTATAGTAGTATCTAGGTTTGGGTGGTATGACAGTATTGTGGCATACCTCCATTTTGAAATATGGGGACTGCATTTAAAATTATATGACCGCATATTAACCCTCTGCACCCTAGTTACATGTATTTAATTTGCTCTAGTCAAAAAATACTGAGATTCTGTTACTTTGTGTCAAATATAGATTTCAAACTATGCACCGGTTTAAACTGTTAAAAGGCAAAATAAATATGATAAATAGTACAGTTTTTTTTCTCCTGAATATGACCATCCTGTTTGATGCACCCCATGCCCTGCCTATTTTCCACCCTGCCCCATACAGTAATACCATATACTGCTGTATTATCCAAAGGTGAATGTGTATGTGTGTATGTCGGTATGAAAAAGATCAATACCACCTAACCTACTTGAGGTTATTTTACAGCACATGAGCTCTGATGAAAATGAAGTCCAAGAACAATCTCCAACTTACCTTCCACAGGCTCCTCTTTAACGCTGGAACTCTGCMGGGCTGCTGGGGTTGCAGCAGGTGCCTTGAGGCTTCGAGGGCTTTCCTTTTTAGGCGAGATTAAACTCTTAACGGGGCTCGCATCTTCGAGTCCCTCCTCCGGACACAGGTACACCTCTATGGGGCCATTCCTGCTCTTTAAATAGATTTGCAACGAGCCCTGTTGTAGTAAAGGAGACAACAAAAACCAAACGCTCAAAGCAGTTCCACCAAAAGCTCCAAGTTCTACCAAAACATCAGCTGAAATACATTTAAATAACCGCGATAACTTCAGATAAAAACAGARGAAGTGTGTCTCACCGTAGATGTGTCCGGCACCTCCAGCTTGGTCTCAGCTGGAGCTTTGACAGCGATGACCGTCTGGTCCAGGAGACTGGCGATGGAGCGGATGTCCTGGTARGTCACGTAGCCCAACGTGCTGCGTGGAGTCAAGGGCAACGACAGTGACGCGTGTGCGCCTGCATGACTCGACACAGAGGACAACTAGAGAAAGATAAAGCTTGGCGTGAAAGGATATCTCTGGCTGTCTTTGACCTCGGTGAGTTGTTTGAGCTGCACGGTGCTGGACTGAATCAGCTCATCCAGAGACCGCTCGGCTTGCTCCAGCTCTCCCAGCTCTTTCCTCAGGGCACYAGCCTTTTCTCCTCCAGCAGCACCGCCTTCGAAAACATCGCCCACTCTAGAAAYCAGCAGCAAGACAAACAGATTTCTTTTTTTTTTTTTATAAACACGTTTTGTTTTACACAGCTACAGATGTCAGAAAGTGTCCTGACTTCCACTAGGGGGCAGGATTCTAGTTTTTAAACATGTGAAACTGTTTTTATGGGGCAGCATTTATTTAAGCTTTTACAAAAGACTACTTTATAATTAGAGCTGAAACAGTTCGCATTTAAAATGGCGAGAAATTTATCCAGTTATTACACAAAGCTGGTAAATTTAGAGAAGTTTGCAAACAAGCGGGACGATTTTTACAGGATCTGGTGTAAGAATCTACATTTCTTATGTTAATTCCTAACATTTAATCTCCTGCTGGGCGTGCAGACTTACAGCCACTGGATGTTGTTCTTCGACTTCTTCCGGATGAGTTGGACTCCCTCTAGGACGTTCGTGATGTCGTAGATGCGTCTCTTCTGGACCTCCAGAACTTCGGTGGCCCAGTTAAGATCCAGAACGCCGTCGGCAGACTCAGCAATCAGCCCCACAAACTTCTTGGTCAGGAGGCCCAGTGAAGTGTCGTACCGTGTCCGTTCACCTGGAGACTTGGGAGCTGAGGGCAGACATACACAAAAGGCAAACGTAAATTTATCCAGTAAATGCACCTGAAATATTCAAAATAGACTAAATCTACTTCAAGAAATGAGATTCTTGAGCTCTAGAGATGTTCAGAAGATCAAAAAGCTGCTTTCTTCTATGGTTTTGGGAATCTCAGCTGGGTATTTCCAATTCTTAGAGATGCTCTGCAACATTAAACCACAAATACCGCTTTTGAGCCTGTGGAGCCCTCTAAAGAACCCTATCCTCTTACTCTCTAGGCCTGCCACGGTTAGCAATAAATCAATTATACGCAAGATAAATGAAAACAAGGTTGATAATTTTCATTTGCTTGTTGATTTTTCTTCYTGTCTCCCCATTTTCTACACCTTAGCCTAGGGAGGTGAGAACTCTGGCATCAGGTATTTGCCAGGTGTATGGTCTCATWACCTCTGTAGCACGKGAGTCCRGTAAACATTTAGTTAAAGGAGCATCGTTGGTTTTCCCGATGCCTTTTTTAAGCTTGCGATGCCACAGGATGGCCTCAGGGCACGATGTCGAACCTTGGTTTTTTTTTTAATTACGTAGATTTCGTAAACTTCGCAAGCAGAATGTAGGTGACTGCAATATTTTATGAAGCCAGAGGAAAAACGCACACAAAAGGTTTAAACTGAGCCCTACTTGGATAGAGGAAGTGTGGGAAGTGATTTTACAGCTTCAGCAGCTTTTATGTGTTTTTTTCTCAATCACCAGTTCAGGTAAGTTCATAACTTTTTTTACTTCTGTAAGCGCGGCGTGTGTGCTAACATATTAGCTTAAAAGGGTCTCCAAACTATATTATGGTTTATCGCAGTCATTTCAAGAAAATTGATCATCCAGCAAAAATTATCATGATAGGCCAATTAACCTCAGACTTCTACTTCACCTGACCTCCTTACTCAGATTACTGTTAAATATTCCACTTGTAAATTTTACATTACTCTTCTAACTGAACCTAACATAATCTTAACAAGCTACCAGCATCATACCAGAAGCCTRCTCCCTACATGTGATCCATTAAGTGTACTCACTGCATGGACTTGGTATCCTTGCTGTAATGCTGCAGTTGCCTTTGGGRGTGCGAAACTCTGGCAGGTAAAGAGGGTCTTCTAGATCCAGCTTCCTTTTAGCCTGCACAAAAAGAGGTTTACATGTGTTACAAAAAGCAGAACTTCAAAAATAGTTCAAACAAAAAGTCTCTCTTGGAAGTTTGTCTCCTTTTAAATTCAAGAATGRGCAGAAAACGGCTCATCCTTTCTTTTTAACCCATTTGACCTGTCCAAGTTTATTCTTTGAGCTAGTCTAGACCACATGAACGCCTGGCACAAAGGAGCTAAATAGGGGGTGTGCCAGAAAGTCCCATGTCATAAAACTGCCAACAATCCTCAAGTGCAGGAACAAAGTGCAACCCTCACACTTTCTAAAGCGCTTCAAGAGGGCCTATTTGTATGTAGTTGGGGGTGGGATTGTCTCAGCCTGGCAAGATCCAGGAAGTCCCTAGAATCACTCAATGACCTCCACTCTTCCTGACAAGCCTCCCTTCCTGCTGCCTCCTGTGCTCCAGAGCTCTGCAGACAAGCCCTCTTCACAAACACACGAGAACATGCAGCTTCATGATTAAACTGACAAAACCTGTCCYGTGGTTCCTGAACTATAACAGGCAAGTGAACACACARAGGTCTGGTTTGTATATCCCCGTGGGGACCGTACATTGACTTCCATTCATTTTTTGGAAATTTTTATATCCTAACCTTGGTACTGAATGGTAAATGGTACTGAACTTATAGAGCGCTTTTCAAGTCCCTCCGGACCCCAAAGCACTTTACACTAACAGACATTCACCCATTCACACTCACATTCACACACTGATGACAGCAAACTACACTGTAGCCACAGCTGCCCTGGGGAACACTGACAGAAGCGAGGCTGCCATGCACCGGCGCCACCGGACCCTCTGACCACCATCAGTAGGCAAGGTGGGTGAAGTGTCTTGCCCAAGGACACAACGACTGAGACGGCTGGACGGGGGACCGAACCAGCGACCTTCCGGTTCCAGGACGACTCCCCTAACCACTCTTCCACAGCCACCCCTTGACCATTTACCCTAAGGCTAACCTCACAGGTACCTACCTGACCCTAAACCTAACCTAAACTCTATTCACACCTTGGTCCTAAACCAAACCCCCAACCCCTAATTTGCATTTGGACCCATTCGGGGGGCACTGGTCCCCACGAGGCTGCTTTTTCAGGAAATTTGTCCCCACGATGTAAGAAAAACAAGGCCACACGCGCAAACAAGGGCGATAATGACCAATAAAAAGGTGATAGTGACTGTTAAATATCAACACAGCCACACATAACAAAAGTGAAAGTGACAAASAGAGTAAGTGATCTGGATAAAGCTGGTCTTTGGAGTTGGGGTTAGTCAGTAATTTTACTCCTGTGGGGTCATAAAACCAGCAGTGACAGGACTACTTTGACAGTCAAACCTGACAGGTAATCTGTTCCATCTGGCTGGGACCTCACCTCTGTGTTCAGTTTTGCACCTTTCTCTCGCTGCTTCACAAATATGTGGTGACAAAGCCCTCTTTGTCMTAACGACACACACGTGAGACTACTGAGCCGAGTTTGGTTAAAAAAGGTTTTTGGGCAACTGGGTGTGAAAAGTGTCCACGTGTGGATACGCTCATTTATGGGAGCGAAAAGAACGCTGCCATTGTCCAAACATGCTCCCTGACATGTCCACCTGTTGACTGGCGACATCTGGAGACACATGGGCAAGTGGGGTGGGGGTTAACCCCTAGATTATAAATTATACATCCAGAGCCAGCTATACACAGTCAATAATGACTGAAAGACACAAAACAAGACTATTTCAAAGCAACWTTARTGGTATTTAGTTGGATTTCTTTTGAGAGACCTCTACTTGACTAAATCCTGGCAGTAGCTGGTAAATACCATAAGATGACATTGACTGAACCGTCTACAAGCTGTGACAGCTGCGGTTTGATCAGCATGAACATCTATCACGTGCCAGTTGAAAGTCCCAATGTTCAAGAGCAGAAAAATTAATAGACAGCATTTACAACTTTTAGTTGAATTAAAAGGGGACACATCATGCAAAATCCCCTTTTTTGCCATTAAATACTTTTTGTTGTGTACTTGGAGTCTCTAGGAGTAGGGCTCGATTAGTCGACTWATRGAAAAAAATAAATTGGTGATTTGTRGACTATAAAAACTAATCGTTTGTGGCAGCCCTYTCTAGGAGTGCAGAAAATTTGAATTTAATGTCTCCCGGTGCTGCGTAGATATRTTTATATTCTGTTTGGGMCATATTTTACAACCGGTATAGTTTTCTCCATTTTCTGATGTTTCCTGAACTATCACGTCACAGAATTAGAGATGTACCAAAGACGGACCGCTCAGAAAGTTGGAGGGGGGCATGGTGTGAATTTCCTAGTTTGCGTTTAAAGAAACAGCATAAAACATYTTGCTATGAGACACAGCTCAGAAGAGAGGGGCTTGTGGAGTTACAATTAGGAGGAATTCAGACCAAAGCTTTGGAGTTCTACTTTATATAGACCCAAACCGAATGATWAAAATGTGAAAAAGAAAGATTTTAAAGCARGATARGTCTACTTTAACTACKCTGAGTTAAACAATGCCCACATGGTGGGAACGTTTTCAGATTCAATTGAGCCACCTGCAATTTGTGCAACAGTCACACATGTAAGAAGGAAACCAACCATTGCACCATTGCAGCTGTACTGGCATGGTTGGGTGGGGTTAGTGGGGTTTGGGATTTTTCTGGTGAGTCAACCAWATTACACAAATACACTTTCATAAACTGAGAAAATGGCAGAATCTCTCTTTCAGTCAAAACCTCAAAAAAAATCGGTTTCAATGTGTAGCAAGGAACTGTTCAGACTATTTTTAATGAAACAAGGCTCCACTCCCCTCTTCACTGGTTCTTTATCTCAAAGAGACTAGGCAGTATCACTTGGCCCACATTTGCTACAACCTCACCCTGTTTGCCTAGAAACACCCTGCACTCTGCGCACGCCTTCCTGTTTAATTCTTCAGCTGATTCCCGCCATCTCTGTTGCTGTGGCGAAATCTCCACAGTGGCATTTCGCACAAAGTCACGTGAAGTGGATTGTGCAGCCGGGCCCCTGAGTAAACCAACAGAGCCGGCCGGTCAGGCTGCTCGAGAATCAGATTCCATTCCAACCTGGGGTAATTTACATTAGGCCTGCACAAATCTGCCTCACCTGCAGATGGCTTAAAGATGAAAAACGACTTGCATTTTTCACCCCGTGCATCTACAGAGGTAAAGGGAGGAGGGTGGGTCCACCTGTTGTGGTTGCTAATGGGGGGTGGGGCTTGCTTTGAAATGCAAAACTTCCCCCGGTTTTGAGCTCCGGTGCTTGCCTTAGGGTGTGGTAAAAACAAAAGAGAACACCACGTACAGTTTGACAAATGTCACACCGAAGCATCAGTCTGGRTAAACTGACAGTCTGGATTAACTAGGGGCCTCTAGAGAAGGGCTTTACAAGAAAACAATGTGAGAAATGGGTGTTCACACCAAGTGGAAAAAGCAATCCCAGTATTCACACAATACAGCCACACGCCTGTCATCAGTAGGGCTAACAACCTCACAATTCAATTTGATTTAAATTATTTGGGTCACAATTTGATATTGCTTTAAATGTTTTATTTTAGATGTTTATTTTCTTGCCAATATAAAACAAAAATGGTATATATGAGCATTTTTGAGAAATAGAATAAAAAACACACTAAATTATAAATAAAGCAGTAGCACAATAACATTTGTTCTAAATATGGATTGCAAATATAAAAACATGACATTCTCACCAGGGGATCAAATCAGATCAGTAGACTGTCTGAATCGATATTGAGTTGGTAAAAAAAAAATTGCAATGCATTGACGAATCATTATTTGTACCCACCCCTAATTACAAGTAAGAAATTTGACCTAGTTTTTACCGAGAAGCATTTTGCAGGAAATCCAAACATTCATAGTGATTTTAAGCCAGAAAGGGCTTCCCTGGACATTGACTGGAGATCTGAATACTGTAACTTATTTACACATCATCAACAGATACACACCCCAGTCAACACCCACGTCCTTATATTGCCTTTTACTACAAGGTGACTTATAGATCGTAATACCACAAATTATAAACATCTTGTCCAAAAAGAATGCAGAAAAACTGGTCCATGCATTTATCCCATCTAGGSTGGACTGTTGCAGTTCTTTAATATCTGGGCATCCAAAAAAATCTTAATCTTTAGTTGCTCCAAAATGCTGCAGTTGCTCTCAGACTGCAGGTTTACTTGATGTTCCTCGAGTTTCTAAAAAGTAGAATGGGAGGCAGAGCTTTCAGTTATCAAGCTCCTCTCTTGTGGAACAAACTTCCAGTTTTTGTCCGTGAGYTTGACACTCTTGTCTACTTTTAAGACCAGGTTGAGGACTTTCCTTTTTCATAAAGTCAATAGTTATGGTTTGGTTCCCTGAGTTATCCCTTGGGTCTGCTGCTATTGGCTTAGACTGCTGGAAGACAAACTGACCACATTTCCTCACTCTGCTGTCGTCTTTAGTCACTCTCTTCTACATTTTTGTTATTGTAATTATTTCTGTCAATAATGTGTTTTATTTGTCTCCCTTTCAGATGAAAATACACCTGGATCAGTCCTTCTGTGTTTGTCTCTTTCCTGTCCCCCAAACCCAGTCAGTCGAGGCAGATGGCTGCTTGTCCTGAGCCTGGTTCTGCTGGAGGTTTCTTCCTGTTAAAAGGGAGTTTTTCCCTTTGAACTGTCACCAGTGTGCTGCTCAGTGTGGGAAACTGTGATGAAGTGATTCAACACAATCTGCTGGCTTCTTTAGATTGATTGTTGTTTGTACAGTGCCCTGAAATGATGTTTGTTGCGACTTGGTGCTATATAAATAAACTGAACTGAATTATAGGTAACAAGCTCTAAATACATAATGGATGGATTTTAAAAGGCTGTCATGATGGAGCTTCTTGTTTTGTTGTGCAGACAGGAACTCCAGCTCAGGCATCTGGTTTACTTGTCAAAAAGTTAAACTGGCGGTTGTTGTTTAACTT